ATAGCACATCCAGCAGTGCAGGCCGTTCTGAAGAAACTTTCAGCACAGCAGTTTAACACTTTGTTTATAAGGAATGTGCAACTGGTGCCAATGACATTTTGTACTGATTTAATGAAAATGTTGTTTCTTACACTTATTTTTTGTGTCAGAGTCTCTACTGTCAAGTAAAAAAAACAGTGGGTGGAAAAATACTGATTCAATAATAAGTCAGTTTAATCAATTTAGTTGCTTCCCTCTAAAGAATAAGATGAGTTTTATCTCAACTGAATGATGCCAAATATGGGTGTTAGTTGACAACTCTTGCAGCTTGCTGAGAAGTAAAGACGGACGATCTGCAGCTAGATACTCTTTCAACCTTTTTTGCAACCTTTCAGACCCAAATGGCCATTTTACCAAAAGCACACCAAAATAAAAGTCATTAAGAGACACAAATATTACATGAGATTTAAATAAAACTACTTTTTCTGTCATAGTAAATCTGTTTTATTAAACAGTAAACCTTTTTTTGTTTCATACCCGTGATGTCATACCTGTGAGTTTTTGAGACATTCACATTAACAGTGATATTATTGTTCTTGCGAAAACCTAATTTATTCAGACACAAATAGTGAACAAAAAATCCATAATAAATTGGAAAGAAAAGCATAATGTAACACAAATTATACAAATAAAGTCTAATTCAAATGATTAAAGATGGATGGTTTTTTCACATTAGTCAGAATGAGCAGTGACAACTAGTTTGAAATAAAATAAGGGCAAAACATAAACGTTTCATAAAGAGGAACTACGAGGTGGGTTTGTTTCTTTAGGATATTACTTTATATTAAAAAACAGTAGCTAATTTCTACCATACTTATGGTTCTTTAAAGCCATTCTATTAAGAAAACTCAACGCAAATGTTGTTTTAAAAACCCACTAAAGCATTTAAGATTATACTTGTTAATATTATACTATATTTGAAACTATGAATTGGTTCTTTAAGGTTTTAAGCCTCTATAATAAAGAGCCACTTGCAGCTCTGGAGCAGCGGGTTGCAGATCCCAGGTCTATATTGTAGCTGCTGTTGGACTGGAATGTCTCCCATCATGAGAAGAGAGGGACTGATTTTAAAGAGCAACTTGTTTGTAATGAAGAGCTGCCCGTTTCACAGACAGAAGTGTTTCCTGGAAGAAAAAAAGCTGCTCATTTCCACCAAGGTCCACACTAGTTCCCATTTGTCATCAGCTCCCACAGAGAATCAATCAATTAGCAAAAGGCTGTCAGCTGAACAAATGCTGAAAGTACAGCAGCCTGCTGTTAGATTATAAAGCTTAATCCACCCTTCTTATAGTTCATAAGTAGTGATTACATTCCATGATGCAGTCAGCGACTAAAAGGTTTTCCATTTAAATCAGCCTATGGAAGAAGGGGACATTAGGTTCTACTTGGGCAGCATATTTCTGCACATTACTAAAAAAGGAGGATTGGATGCAAAACAGAGGAAGAACCTGAATGTTTTTGGAACAAGGCCTTAAAGCTAATTGACTGAATCATGCCCGCCCAAAACTGATTACTAAAACACACAAACTAGAAGAGCACAAGCACACACACACAATGCAATATAGTTTGTTTTGTTAAAATGCACCATACAAAACATTTGGGGAATATTTAAGCAATGCACTGTTTGAAGTTGCAGAAATGTGCAAGGATCAAAATGAAACAACACAGGCAACAGATTTCACTCATAGTAGCATGTATAAAGAAAAGCCTGCGGGAATAAAGCTTGCGACTGCAAGTATTAACAACTTGTGGTGATTGTTCCATGTTGGGTTTGGGAGTTGGCATGTATAGCCTCCAGGCCCTTGTTGTATCCCTCAACACTCCTGTTGGAGCTGTTTGTTGTGTTTACCATCCTATCTGAATGCTGTCATTTTCTGAGGTCCTGGACATTTGTTGAACCTCCAAACTTGTTGTAAATTCACTTTCCCCTGCCCTTTAGACCTTCCACTCAGACATTGAGTGAGCCAGAGGAAACCGCTATGATCCTCTCATTTCATGATAGGCTGTGTTCACACTGCAGGCCTTAATGACCAATTTTGATTTTTTTTTGTGATATCAGACTTTTTTTACGTGGCCGTTCACAATACCAAATAGATGCGGCTTGTATGTGATCTCCTGTGTAAACTGCATTCACACAACTTAAATCTGAAGCATGCGCAGTGGAGGACGCAGTGACGTCACAAGTAGTGATCATGCTCTTTGTTTACGGAAATAAACATGGATGGTAGTGCTGGAGCGCATCTAGAGATCTTACCCAACCTCAGCCAGTGAATTAACAACACGCTCTTTTTAAGACTGTTGAAAATAAATACTGCCCTCCACATCATCGTCCGACATGGTTGTTGTTTTTCTTCCTGCTTCTGTGTAGTAAGACTCAGAATAGTGACCTTTATTGAGTAATAATGACGTATAGGTCGGATGACGTGACCTGGCCGTTCAGACGCGGGTCGCATTTGAAAAAAAAAATTGATATGCATCAAATTCAGGACCACAAGCCAAGTGGCCTGGGTCACATTGGAAAAAAATCTGATCTGTGTATTTTAGACCGCCATGAAAAGATCAGATATAGGTTGCATATGGGCAAAAAAAAAATCAGATTTCAGGATGCTGGGTGAACGTAGCCTTAAGCCTGGTTTATGTTGAAAAACTAGGTCGTCTGCATGTTTCTTAATGCAGATATGCCCCCCCCCTTCCGCAGACACTCTGAAACACCTCCTGAAAACTGTAGGTGACAGCAGACAGTGCCACATATAGCATCGCAGGGAGGAGAGAAAAGAGGCCTCTGATTGGTCAATTCTACATCCGCTCTACACTATGCATATTTCCTGTTTGGTCCCTGTTTGGCCAGAATAATGGCTGTAGTGCCGTCCACGATGCCAGTCACCTTGCAGGATTCTAGTTTGTAGCTCTGTGATTGTTTGCACCCGAAGCCAACACACGTAGCGCCACGGCCAGTCTTTCGGGAACACTTACAGGTGAACTGTGTGTCGTCTGGCGTTGGGTGAGGGGTTGTAGACGGCGAACAAGCTTGTCAAACCAACACACACAATCCTAGCTATTTCATGACTGTCCCTCTTGCGTTGTGGCGTGGAATAACATAGCACTGACCACGCTTCCAAAATGGGCATAGATAAAAAATATCTGCGTCATACCTGCGACAAGCTGACTGCGACACACTGCTGTGGGAGTAGAACCAGCACTTTAGAGACAATGATCTATTTCTGCCACATTGCCAGACAGGTCACTGTTTTGTTTTTAGTTTCAGCTTGCATTCTGGCTGTTAAACAACATATGTGTTTAAACAAGCAATGTTTTAGAGAAAAACTGTGGGGTTTTAGGTATTTCCATTTCTAAATTTTTGGAACAAGCAAAACCACTACAGAAAAAAAAAACTTCTAATCTACCACATACTAATTGAAATAAAAAACAGAAATGCTGGGCAAACAATTCCCCCTAACGGCCCTCTTTTAGAGACATAGACAGGTAGCAGGTATTATAGGCTAACAGGACCTGAAACTGCCCCCATTCCGAAAAAGTGGACCCGTTTATCCGCTTCAATTTGCATGTTTTCTAAGCCAAAACAAGGCTTAGTTTAGGTCCACTGTATAAAGCCTCGAACTCAACGCCATTTCTGACATTTTGAATTGAAAAATCTTCCTGGATGGGAAGAGAAACGTCTACAAACTTGGAAACCACGTCCAGTGGATTGTTTTTTTTTAATACTTTTTTGAGAATTTTACCCAGAAGGCATTTGTTTGATCATGTGGAAAACAGTGAGCTTTAATTGAAAGTGCTGCTTCTGGGGCTTCCATCATAAGCTTTGTTTAAGCTTGATCCATCGATGAGGTCTGGATGGCCAAATCACATCATTTGGTGCTACCACGTCTCTCTGGGCGGCGTCCGTAGGGATAGAATATACGCAATTGGGAAAATTTGTAATGAGGAAAAACATGGAGAACAAGCTGCAGATCCTTCTGGCAAGCATTCGCAAATGTAAACCTCTTGAGATTCTGTGATTCAGCTCATAAATATCACCGCTATCAACAGATTGTAGAATCTATGTTCTCTCTTTGAAGGCATTAAGAGGCTTTGAAAAAGTTGTACACAGTTGTGTTTTCTACTTCATGGTGCAGTGCAGCTTGTGCTGAACATGCCCCCCCCCTCAGAGTTAGTTAGAATTGGAGGGAAAGCTTCACAAAATATAAATGCTGCAGATGTGACGGGCATCTCATTTTTTCATGCAGATTGTATGACCATCAAGCATAATGACCTTTATAGTTAAAGCCTCGTTAAACCCACTTCTCCCTGGACAGTGACACTGGTGTTCCAGCAATCTCCATTTTATTACACTTTCATGGTGCCTCCTGGGATGTTCTGGAACATCCCTTATTATTTCTTCCATCTGCGCCTCTATTGAAGACTAATCTCAACTTTGGTGCTCGAATTGGAGTATAATTAAAACGCACAGGAAAAAAGCTCAAGATTGCTTCTTCGAAAAATGGGCCTGGAAATTCAGGTACTAATTTTAAAATGAGTGTCAATAATGCACGTCCAACCGCTTTTAATTAAAAAAAAAGTGTTAAAATGTCCAGTCAGACTGTAACTAAATTGAATGTAAGAGTCATGGAAGTAGATGGTTGATTATCAGCTAAATAGAGCTCTGAATGTGTCTCTAAAAGCCCAACTTAATGACATCTCTTCCAATTATGGGTGTTTTTGAACCCCTGACTTGCACTTTGCATCCTTCTCAATTTCCTGTGTTGTTGTAAAATTAATCAAATTAAAATGGGAAAAAGAAGCAAAGGAATATTGCCCAAAGCACAGCCGTTCAGATATCGTCTCCAAGCTCAACACCTTGGCTGTTCTTTACCGGACTTCTCTGTTCTCAGAAAGGCTGAGCAGGAAGATGACGATTGAAGATTAAAACACAGAAATAAAACTTCAAGCATGCAATTACTCACTGTATGGAAAACTGATGCGTGGCGTGACGTCCTCCTCAGGTTCAATGGCTGACTGCAGGCTGCCAGCCAATAGCAAAGCAGCAGCCAAAACACGGCGGATGGTCAGAGCTAATGAGTACATGGCTGCTGAATTCTGTCACTGAAAAATGCTGTTTGTTTTAGGATTCCCTGGAATTCATTAAGAGCTCCTCTTGACTCCAAACAGCTTTATGTTTTCACTCCCATCTTCCTGCAGGCTGAGAGGTGAGTGGGGGGGTCCGGGGTGTTAAACGAGTCGTTCGCTGGATTCTTCAACTCCCAGAGGTCCGAACACACAGGGTTAGAAAAGGAATCCTTTCTGGATCAACGGCTGCTTGTTTTCTTGTACTTTTAGCCTCTTCTGATGGGTCAGAGAAGAACTCAGACAAGTGGCCTGTTAGTAAAACTCATGCTGGATCTGTGGAGACGGAGAGAGAGAAGACGTTTTTTTTTATTGATTTCTGTTTTTTATTTAACACAGGACTTCAAAAAACGATTAGATTCTTTGTTTTGATTCTTCTGTCTTCAAACAAACAAACAAAAAAAAAGTTCAACCAAAGGATTTCCTTATTTATAATGCAGCTGTCAGCAGCTGGAAGTACTCAGTGGGCACATTTTCACATTCATGGTTTTTAGTCATCATCTTAAGTTTAAATGCAGCAATCAGCTTTTTTAAACGATACGAATTTAAGTATTGTCTTATAAAGAAAATTTCTTATCTAATGCAGTTTTAAACAGGAAGAAGTAAAATATGCTGCAATTTCTTTAACAGAAGTTTATATGCCTCTTATTTTTGTCTGATTTTCATATAACTCAGAAATTTGGCAAAAAAGACCCAAAAATCAACAAATTTGTAAATTCTTACTCTCCACGCATGCATGCAAAAGAATAAGTAGGTAGTGAACTAAAAGATATTTCAGTAAAAAGAAATAATTGCCTGTGTTTGTTGAAATGAAATCTATTCCAACTGTGAGTCAATCCCAGTTACCCAAACATAAAAAACAAAACAAATTAGTCCAAAGACAACTTTTATGAGTTGCATCCACCGATGTGCCACTCTGTCATGTCACTCTTGCATAAACCTCTGCGGTTTATGAAAGATTTCTTGCAGGACAAGGCGATGCAGTACGGTTCTGTTTCATTCAGTTATGAACTAACGGCTTAAGAAAC